GTCAAAAAACTTGAAAATTTAATACAAGGTTCCCCATAACTTTATATAATAGCAGTTGAAAAATATTGAAAATACATATTATGCACTTTAATTTATAACCATTTAAATTTCAAACTTTGAAAATTTGTTGAATTAAAAATTTTCATTAGTGGTTAAAAATTTATAAAACTTTTAACTTTTATAGCTAAGGATTGAAAATTTAAAAGAAGGTTCAACATAAGTAATTAATTCAGTAACAAAAAAATCTAAAAACTATTATACACGCGAAGTTTTTTTTAGTTCAAATTTGAATGAAATTACTTATTGAATAACCAATAAAAACAATTTTAGTTATATTGTTGCAATTTAAAATTATTATTCGTGGGTGCTTAAATTTCTAGATTGAGCTTTAAATTCTAATTTTAAGRTAATTAGTKYCGTTAATGACTTGTATTAATACTTTATAATAAATTRTATATACCTTCTATGAACTACTGAATAAGTCGAATACTTAATGAATCTAATTTGATTTAATTGAATTTATTTTAAAGGTACCTACATTTTTTATATTGAAATAATAACAATATAATTAATATAGTATAAAATAATATCCTAAACTGACGAACCGTCTCCACTCACAATCGTTTTTCGTATACTATATTATATTATAGTATATTATATCATTGAATTCCAATTTAATACCATCCATTAAAGTAACCCACTTGTAACCTACTGCACAGCAGAACGACATACACTTAGTACCTGCTTTTTTGTTTTTTATTTATTTACTATAAATTAGTGAGTAATAATATTAAAATTATAAAATAAATTCTATGATACAGATKAAGTTATCTCCATGAATTGTGAAAATTTGGAAAAGCTATTGAGAATAATGTATCCGTAAGTTTGTATTGCGCTAAGTTATTTTTATTATAATATTGTTTYATTCAACAACTAAAATGAATTATTGGAACTGACATGTATGAAAATATTTAACATTTAACATTTTAATCCTTATCAAAGTTATTTAAATCGTCCCATTTATCTGCAATTTTTCCTGACTTCTGGAAACCTAGTTTGATATCCCTGATCCATAAATGTTCTGATTTCATGTTATATTCTATCATAAATGTGCATAATATTAAAACCAATTAACAATGTAATTAATGTCTTATTATACAATATGTAATTGGAATAATTGGATCCTTAAACCCGGCTAATTCAAATTTAAATAAATTAATAATCTTTTTCTGATTTTAATTTCATTAGAATTGCCTATTCAAAACCTCTTAAATAGCGAGCCTTCTTAAAGAATGATGTGTTTTGGATTTATATTGTTAATGATAGTATAAAARGGTAATATTATGTACAGTATAAATTCTTGCAGTGACATATTTAGGATTTTGTCTGGGTGGAGAAAGAATAATATGCATCCAGAGCTCATCGACTAATAATTACCTAATTATAATATTTTTTATTCGTAGTAATACACACATTACACATAATACAAAATTTATTATCTATTTTTAAATATTACTSATCAAGAGCTTTATCTGGCATGATTTTTATATTCTGGGGGCATACGAATATGCATGCGACAATATTATATTATTATTATATTGGGTATATTATTTTCTTATCCATATGTGTAATCATTTGGCTGGGTGGACCAATATGATATAATATCRTCCTACATTATTTAGAATATCCCAATTTTATTTTATCAGAATCAGTATTGGGCATATTTTGATTAATATTATTCTTTGAGTTATTCATGGACTACAGACTCAGGGCGTCCGGAAATTAGACCACAATTCACCTTATTTTTTTAAAGTATACGGTAATTTGGCCACTAAAATGTTATATTTATAATAGATAAACCAGAAGATTGGGGCTCTATTAAATTTT